GAAGATCATAGATTCAAAAGAATTTTCACTACCATGATAATCATGCTCAGTTTTCAATTGCAAATTGACTCTCTAAAATGCTTTGTGCTTCTGTATGATAAAGTTCCCTACATCTTTGGTATCTTAATAGAGAGAGTATTACACCTTTTCGGGTTGATTATGAGAAAGTGCATTTGTAATCTCAATGTCTATACTACAAAATGTTTTGCTGTCCCTAAACTCTGACTAACAGCGATATTCTAGGGTTCCAAATAATGTATATTTGAGCAAAAGTCAAGTCACAAGAAGTAAAAGACCGAATAATTCTCAAAAAAAAGAATCATATGTCAAGCTCTACAAATTTAGTAAAGCATTCTTCCTTCTCATTGTCAGTTTTGAAAGGGGCTCTGCCTCACTTGAGGTTGCTCAGGAAAACCAAGTTTAATTCGTTGAAAAAAAAAGGATACTATTTCCTCACCATAGGGAAAAACGTCTCTTAAAGCTAAAACTTTTCACTTAGTCACCAATAGTCGCGTGATGCACCTGCGCTCAAACTGCCCGCGTCGAGTCAGTGTTGTTATATAGCAAAGGAATAGGCGAGATCATCTGAGCGTATCATTTTGGTAGATATGCTGAGCTGATCAGCTTTTGCGAATTAGGCTTTACGACAAGCACTGCAATAACAAACATTGCATTTGCTTGCATTGTAGATTGGTGATTGCGCCAACATAGAAATAGCACACCAAATAGAGCGCTTAGTTTGCGGCGCAACCTTTGGAGAAACGAAAGAGCGATTTAGTATACATGAATGCGATTGTAATGATGACGACTACGAAAACAAGTGCACGTCTAAAATAAATATGTCTACGCGGAAAGCTTTCGAAACATCCTGGATCTTTTGCAAAAATCCGCCTATGGTCACGAAAATGAGTGTTTAGCACTACGAATGACTTCTTGGGGCATTGTGTAAGCTAGAAGAAGTAGTGCGATTTCTGCAAGCTAACTTGCAGAAATCGCACTACTTCTTCGCACTACTATCAAGTGTCGCTTATTAGCACTGCTGTCTTGAGGATGTAACCTCGTTCATCTTTCTAGTTATGCGTTGGCTTAAGTCTTGAGAGAACAGTGAAAAACTGACCACTATTTCATAAGGCCTTTGGTGGAAAAGACATACAATCTTGAAAGCTTTGACCATAAGAGAAAATAGCCGCTGCAGTAAGCGCTTCAACCAAACCTATTTTTGGCAAATATCAGAAAACATCACATGTACTTTTTCAGGAACAGTTGAATAATTCACCTTGTCTTTGCCTCTCAACGCCATCTCAAAGGAGAAGGCAGGAAGCTAGGAGGCTATCTGATCCGACTGCTGAACCTACCCATG